GGTTCCTATACTCATCTTAAAATTTTTTGCTGAGTTTTCTGTTATTATAAGCTTCCACTTAAAGCTTGGTTCGATGGTCGAATCGAATACCGAAAAAGGGGCGAAATTTCGGGAGGCTCTTTGAGAAAAGTCAAGGTTTTTGCTCAAAATACGTTATGATGTTTTCAAATCAATAATCATTTCGAGTTAGTGAAAAAAAAGAAAAAAATGTGCTAGATGCCTTTTTTAGAGAATTTATTTCTTTGACGACCAGCCCTCAGCCTTCAGATTGACCCGAATATCTCCCCTAGGCGAGTTAAATATGGCAGATGAAAAGATGTTATCATAGAGTTGAAAATTTCAAAACAAGTATTTCTTACTCTCCAAAACTCAGGAACACAGTTATCACTTCATAATGTATCAAAATCGATGCATTTGATTACGAGTCAATCAGACCTGACTTGGGACTTCACATATGAAAAAGTCTTGGCCATCCAAGAGATAACAAGTTAACTATAGTGAAAACCAACGAGAGACCCTCCTTATACTGCCGTGCTAAGGAAAAACGCCGTATGGGCCTTTAGTTGTTGCCAAATTGCCTCCGATAAAACACGAATTTTCCGGTAAACTTACGAATTTTTCTTTCCAATTTTTCAGATAATTTAGTTCGCAAATTTAAATGAAGATTCTGAAAATTTAATGGAAAAATATGCATAACTTCCCTAAAAAAAATCAACATTTTATCGAAGGAAATTTAGCAACTCTCGAATGTTCATACGGCGTTCTTCCTTAGCATGGCAGTATAGACCATCGTTGTCCCCTTGAGTCTATAACAACCACCCGCGTTTTAACCAACCGCGGGGCGATTATTGAAATGTCATCGACTCTATGTCGCCGCTTTCGACAAGACATAGCCCTATCTTAACCGTGCAATATATCGCAATTCGATGTCTTATCGGGCTGGTTTACATTTCAATAATCGGTCCACTGGTTTGCTCCACCAGCCTGGCCTGGTTTGCTACTTAAAATCTGAATCTAAATTTCTACATTTTTATATATTTTTAAATTAAAATTTATCAATTTTATTTAGATATATTTGGTATTTTGGTCTATTTTACTTTAATACTTAACTTTTAAAGTTTTTTATTGTCTAAGTTTGTAATTTAAGTTATCAAACAAATAAATAAAACAATATTCAATTAAATTATTTTATTTGATAACTAGATATTTAAAACATGGTTTCATTTAAAATCTAAAAATGTGTTAATTTTACCTCTTGAATGGTAACAATATAAAAATTCTTATATGGTGATAAATTTCGAGACATTAAACTCCTTCTAATTGTTAATTAACCCGTCTCTTATCCTCCGTTCCCTCCGTCTCTTATCCTCCGTTCCCTCCGTCTCTTATCCTGTCTCCTGATTAAACTGCGAAAAACAGTAATATTTTCTGACGGTTTGTGGCATCAAGGCACGAGATGTTTTAACTTTCCCTAAAAAGTGACTCCGCCCGAAACAAATCCTCCAGTTACATCAGCGCAGGATCTCCCTAGCGCAACTCCTGTTTCAGCGACGCGCCGCGCCGCGCCGCAGTGACAGATGATTCTACAAACAACTCCCGTTGCGGGCGGGTGGCTTTGCAGATTCCTGGCCGGGGTTTCAGGTGCGGATTCCGCGGCCAAATTCTGTTGTTTTGCTCGACGCACGGTGGAGCAAGTCCTTGAGGGAAGTCGAATAGGAGATTTTTTATCACAATTTTAATGTTTGTATCGTCAAATTATCAATTTTAAGGCGTGTTTTAAACGAAATATTTCACACAAAAATCAATGGAACCTTCTTTAAACTTCTGCGTTTCGTATCGACGAAAATATAACCTGTTATAGTTTCAACATCATGTCCGAATTCTCCTACTGATTCACTCCATTGTGCGGTGGTGGAGCAGTTACGCCAGTCACGTATAAGCCGTGAAACTTCGTCACTCACAGCTAACTTTGGCAGTTTCATTGGGGCGCAGGGTGGTGAAAGGGGTGCGGGGAGCTGGGGTTGGGGTTGGAAAGTGAACCCCGCGGTAAGAGTCAGCTCGATAACTAATGAAACGGGTTAATGATGGATGCGCTTGCTCCTGGAAGATAATAATTTGTCATTCCGGGCAAACACTTCGTAAGCATTAGGCAAAGCGCGTTGCCAAAATAGTGCCTATTGTTTTGAAATAATGTGCGAGGTAATGCGAGCTGAGAATTCTGGGGCTCCCCTGATTTTTTTACTTGCTCGCTCCCCTAGTTTTTATGAATCAACATGATATGTTGTAAAATATATTGGTAGATCTTGTTCAGCTTACACGGAGAAAAAAACTTCGTGCGTGGGATCCGAAGTTGAGATCATATGGATCTCTGAAGTTTTCTGATCACGCATCCGAAAACTTGAGGTCGAGCTGCCGAAGTTCGGGTCAGACATCGAGGCACTTCGGTATATTTCGAAGTACTTTCAGGTGTCTGACCCGAACTTCGGCAGCTGGACCTCAAGTTTTTAGATACGTGGTCCAAAAACTTTAGAGATCCATATGACCTCAACTTCGTGTCCCACGCACGAAGTTTTTTTCTCCGTGTACGATACGTTACGAAAAATTTGCATATCCACCGTTTGCACCGTTATCGGAATTTGTTGATCTTAAAATGGGGAGGGGGGATATCATTTCTTTGCTTTCCCCCTTCGTGTTCCACTTAAAACTTGGAGGAGGAATGTTGGTCGTGGTAACTAATTTTCAACTTGGTTCAGTGGTCCATGAAAAAAAAACGACGTATCGTCATCGAGTTTGTTCAGAAAGCGCCTATCTATTTTAAAGAAAAAAGCGAAGATTTATTTGTATGTTGAGACGCTAGGTTTCATGGCAATCCCATCCTCTAGCCCTGCGAAAAATTCAAACCTATCGATGGCCAAAGTGCAAAAACACGCATCTCCGCTTGCAACGTCGTAGACTTTCTGTCGTGCTTTATTTTTTCTTTGGGAAACTACTCAATGTAATTTCATGAAAATTTCCATGAACCTTAGTGTGAGAGTAAAATATTCTGAACAATTACAAGCTATTAAGTTGACTTATTTCTCTTAGGAAAAATGAAATTGGAGTGTGGTTCCACGTTCTGCTTATTGCTCACAGTGGTCTTGAAACAACAGAAAAATAAGACCAAAATGTGCCAAAAAACGGTTTGCAAAGGATGATTCTATGGTATGTGTGGACTTAAAATCGCGATGCATCAAGTCTTGGCTGATCCTAATTTTGAGATATCGCACTTTGAAAGTTCCATAGTAAATGCAAGTTTTCTAGTAATCTTAATCCGCTTTTTTGAATTATTTGTCTATTGAATCGCTGTTGATCGGTTCAAGTTTTTATTTTTCGTTCGATTCATGTCGATCGAATGCATCATTTCTAGTTGCAAGGTAACTACCTATCAATTTTTTTTTAAGTGAACAATTCGCCTTCTGCTGCGGCTGCAGCAATTGTTGTTACGAATATGTTGTGCGTGCTGATTTTAGTTCATTACATACTCGACTCTCTGAAGGCGTTTTATGTGCTCATGTAGCGCAGTCTGTCGGAGAATGAACGAAGTAGGGATTGAGCAATTAATTCAATCTCACTTTTGTTATTCTCCAACAGGGTGCTCTACTTTCGCATATTAAACGCCTTCAAAGAATCAAGTTTGTAATGAGCTGAAATATAGCATGCATAACGTATTTTCAACAACAATTGCTGCGGACGCAGTTGAAGGCGAATTGAAAACAACCGTATAATACTTCCTGAAAAACATATTAGCTCTTGAATAAATATTGCTACCAGAAGAGAGTTGTATTTGATGGTCTTTTCATGGGGGATTCTCGAAAAACTTTCCAACATAAACTGTAAAACATAAACTAAGTTTAAATACAAAATTAAATATACAGCGCTACAAATTTTTCATTCTTGGCGGGAAGCTTAGGCTAAACTTCCCGCAAAGACCAAAGAAGCGCCAACGCCACAATACTCTTGTAGCAAAAGAAAAATGCGACAAAAACTTACCTATCAAAAACGGTTTGCAGGGGCCGAATCCATGGCACGTGTAGCATTTCCGGCGCATCAAAAATTTACTATGGAGATTTCCACAACTTTGCTCCGACCGATATCCCAAAACGTCGCACAGTGGATCGAGTCAATAGGAGAGGTCGGACAACATTTTGAAACTTTAAACGCTTATAACTCCGTGTATACAAATTTTTGAGGTCCTCAAATTGGTTTCATTGGTTTCCTCGTGAAATTTTCTTCCGAAAACACCCCTTGAAATGTAAAATGTGACGAAATAGACACCAAAATTTGCAATTTTAGTAAATAATTTCATGTCCGACCTCTCTGATTGTCTCGATCCACTGTGCGTCGCTTCAATCTATGAATTCGAAACTTTCCTCTACATATATTATCACGACGTGGATTTTTAATGATTTAGAGGAATTTTTGGTAATTCTTCACACTGCTTTACTTAATCTGCAAGTCTTTAACGTGTTTATGATATTTAGGGACTAAGAGCAACTAAAGATTGAAAAGATCACCTGAACTGCATGGTAAGCTTCCTTGGGAAGCTCACCATGCAGTTCTGTGTAATTCATTCTGTGTAATTCATTATTGCATTACTTTCCATGAATTATTAATATCTCAAGCGACCTACGAAAACACCATCAATCCCCCCCCCCCCCCCCCCNCAACAAGACTTTTCTTTTTGTTGAATACTGAATTTGTAGCTCTTGATTTCAAGTCCACACGTACCATAAACTCATCCCCTGCAAACCGTTTTTGGGTACATTTTTGTCGTTTTTTTTTTTTTTTTGCTTCAAAACCACAGTATGCTAAGCGCAATAAGCCAAAATAGTGATAAAACTCATTAAAATCCATGTTAAATATTTTATTTCTAAGTTATTTAGCCGTTTGAAAAATGTAAAATTGAATGAGTTATATGATCCTTGCTCGCCCATCTGATTTGAAATTCGTTTTGTTCACAGAGAGACAAATCGAACCAGTCACAAGTGGTGCTATCTAACGTGGTGCCAAGTTTATCTGGTAGATACAGTTGTGAAGTATCTGCGGACGCTCCATCGTTTCATACTGCCATCGTGTCAGGAGATATGAATGTTGTCGGTGAGTAAGCGTATACACACACGGTTTGTTAAAAAAAAAAAAAAAAAAAAAAAAAATCTGCAGACCACCTGCGATTTTCTTGATGAATGTGTCAGGGAAGGTCCCTAGACTGAAGCAGTGAAACCCGCGTAATCGTAAGTGGGGCAGTTTTTATTTTATTTTTGAGTTCTCAGACTTTTAAGCGAAAAATGGCGGCAGAGGCCAATGTGTGCATGACCACCAGAACCCACAACCCTCTGGTCAAATTAAGTTCAAATTCTATGTATGTCAGTCCTTGATATATATGTAAAAGAGCGTTCTCCAAAGTTTTGAACCCGTCCTTGAAGAAATGTACCCCCTCATATGGTGTTGGCAAGTTACGTACCCTATAATGATGCTGCGGCTGATGGGGCAATATTGATTTTCAGTTGCGATTATCATTAAAAATCATGAAAAAACTTATAATTTTACACTGTGTGAATAATTCAAAATATAGCTTGATGAAAACATGCGAGATTGCAATACTTTCGTTCTTTGCAATTGCCAAATTCGTTCAGAAAATGCCAATTTTATATTTTATATTATTTGATTGAAACCAGTCTCTAGGCTTATTGATCATCAGCTACTTTTTACAAACATCAGCTTTAATTTATGAATTTTTACATACAATGTGACAATATGCCAGCTATTTAACTTTTAGTGTAGGTTTTTTAGTGAAGGTTCCGTATTTGTAGACTTTATAGCAACAACTATCAATGTCGCAGTGGGATTGTCACTTTAAGTATATTATGCCTATACGCCAAACTAATTTTTCTCCCTCCCTCACTTTCCGCTCCTGAACAAACCATCTAAATATGTTAAACTTCCATCAGAGATACTGGTGAAAGAATAATTTCTGTGAATGTTTCATATTTTTCAGATCCACCCAAATCTAGTCCAGTAATCACAGACGTAAAGGATAGGTATCGGGTGGGGGAAGTTCTGCATGCAACTTGCACGTCCCGAGGGTCCAGACCGGCAGCCAATCTCACTTGGTACATCAACGGTGAACAGGTGAGCATCGTTAATGAAATATTGCCGAAATATTGACATATTCGTAACAACAATTGCTGCAGCCGCAGCAGAAGGCGAATTGTTCACTTAAAAAAAAAAAATTGATAGGTAGTTACCTCGCATCTAGAAACGATGCATTCGATCGACATGAATCGAACGAAAAATAAAAACTTGAACCGATCAACAGCGATTCAATAGACAAATAATTCAAAAAACGGATCAAAATCAGTAGAAAACTTGCATCCACTATGAAAATTTCAAATTGCGGTCTCGAAATTAGGATTAGCCAAGATTTTGATTTTCCAAGATTTTAAATCCATAAGTACCATAGACTCACCCTCTGCAAACCGTTTTTTGGCACATTTTTGTCCCATTTTTTTTTTTTTGCTTCAAGACCATTGTGTGTAGATGAACTAAAAATAATAAGATCTGTCCAAACAGAAACTCCCTACGTTCAATGTTAAACGAGCTATCGCGCTTCAATTGAAACATTCGGTTTATAACGTCATCCACCGCGGTAGTAACATCCTTGATTTCTTCCGCCTTTCTTTCACTCGAGTTTCACGTTGAGTAACCATTGCATACGTGTGTTTCCCTGACTGATGAAAGCAAGGTGGAAGAAACCGAAGGTGTCACCACCGCGGTGAACGACGTCATAAACCGAAATTTTTTAAGCACGATTTGTTGGTTAATGGATCGTATTCGATAAAGGTTCGATGTATCCTTTGGTTCAAAACAATAGAATATAACATCAAACATACATTACAGGATTTAAGTTGGAAACGCTTAAAATCAGAAAAATTCCATATAATTTCACTTTTCATTGTCATTTTATACTTGAAGGAATAAAACATCTTTCACAAGAGTCCCGTTAACTCAGATTTATAAATTGACTTTTGAGGCTATGTTTACAAGTTGAATCAATCAATATCAAATTTCACCTGATTGATGTGTCGTCTACAACCTATTTTGAACAATGAGTTACTGCGTGGTAGTGTTGTTGAGTTTTTTTGATTTTCTGAAGCTATCGATTTTTTGCACAAAATAATCAATTGAATTGAATATATCTTTTGTGCGCGATTTTGCAGCTGAATCGATTTTTCACTCACAAATCGAAATTTTTCGATTTTTTACGAACAAAAATTTTTTGCACTCTGCTCTTTTCGGTGCGACGGTAGTAAAATGGGGTTTATGTTGCAGGCCTCGCGGCACTGGGTTCGGGCGATGAAAGTGAGCGTTGACCCGACGACAGACCTGGAGACGTCATCCTCGACGCTGGAGCTGAAGGTGACGCCGCGGCACTTCAACGCCGACGGCGACCTCAAGATCCGGTGCACGGCCAACATCCACGCCATCTACTGGCAGACGACGGAGAGGAGCGCTGAGCAGGAGCTGGCCCGCCACGGCGCCGATCGCGATCATAACCGACACAGGCACGAGTCCCAGGACAAAGCTCGCAGCCCCCAAGACATCCAGACCAACCAGATACCCTACCCAACAGGTACCCTATCAGTTTTATTAACTACACTATAAAGAAAGTTCCGTCTTCCGTATGGACGTATTTCTATCAATGGACATATTTCTATCAAACGGAACTATGTGCAGTAAGACATGAGCCCTAAGACCCATAAGATTACATGCGTAACAGGGCTCACGTCATAATGCACATAGTTCCGTTTGATAGAAATACGTTCATAGAACTATGTGCTGAGGGAAAGATGGGGTACGCTCGTTCATGCTCGGGCCTTAAGAACGAATTGGAAATATAAAGCGCCAGTGACGTCAGCGGCAACGACGAGAGAAACGACGATCGGGGCGGTCTTTAACTCATGAGCCCTGCCCACGAGGCTCTAGATACATGCCCACGGCTCATATACTGTGCACATAGTTCCGTTTGACAGAACGTGAAACCCCGCGTTTCCGATTCAGCAAACGGAACTGTGAGCCAACTAAGTGCGGCATCCATGAGCCGTGAGCATGTATCTAGAGCCTTGTGGACAGGGCCCATGAGTCAAAGACTGCCCTGATTCTCGTTTCTCTCGTCGTTGCCGCTGACGTCACTGGCGCTTCATATTTCACATTCATTCGTATGGCCCGAGCACGAACGAGCACACCCCCTCTTTCCTCCTGCATATAGTTATGTTTGATAGAAATACGTCCATATCATCCAAACTAATTCGCCTCGTGTAATTGAACTCGTGCGGCGAAGTGAACTTACGAACTGCCATCATATATGCCGAACGTTTGGTCACACGAGCTGAAAGTTCAGTTTAACCAACCGAATATTTGGGATGGTATGGAACACCGCCTTTCAAAGGATGCAAAGGATGCCAGACGACAGGTTGCCTAAGAAGGTTCTGGATTGGGTCTCCCCTGGCAGAAAACGTAAAAGGGCGCCCTGCCAAATCGCGGATGGAGGAAATAAGGCAGAAAATGAGGAGAAGCGATCTGCTGGAGGAGCTCCGGCAAGATCGCTGTCGATGGCGGTTGGGTGTCGCAGAGCGAACAGAAGCGCTACAAGAGCAACTTATGTTAGTAGTAGTGGAAAACCGAACGTTCCGTTCACAGGACCGATTTTTTTTTCTTTTTATGTGTATCAGTTGGACTTGTTTCTGCCAAACGGAATTATGTGTATTTTAACGTGAGCCCTGTTATGCATATATTCTTATGGGTCTCATGGCTCATGTCTGAATGCACGTAGTTCTCTTTGGCAGAAATACGTTCAGTTCACCAAGAACCATAGATGGGAGAACGGGAACCGGTTGGCACCGTGGGAACATGTTGGTGAGTGAAGCATGGTACCATGTTGGTGAGAGGAGCATGGTGTCGTGATACTGTGCCAAGGATAAACGCCGTACGAACATTCGAGATTTGCCAAATTTCCCCCAGTTAAATGTTTATTTTTGAGGAGAGTTATGAATATTTTCTCTTGAAATTTTCGGATAGTTCAGATCTGATCGCGATTAAAATTCTTCGAAAAATTCGAGCAAAAGTATTCATGGATTTCCCTGAAAATTCGTATGTAAGCAAGGTAAATTTGGCAACGCCTTTGGGTTTTCGTTGTTCCTAAGCACAGTTGCATGTTGGTGAGCGAAACACGGTGCCATGTTGGTGAGTGACATGGTACCATGTCGGTGAGTGTGACATGGTGCCACGTTGGTGAGGGTGACATGGTACCATGTCGGTGAGGGTGATATGGTACCATGTTGGTGAGGGTGACATGGCACCATGTTGCCGCCAATCTGGTATCAACAGGGTTCCAACTTGGTCTCAACATGGTTTCGTGTTGTTACCATTTTGGCACCATGTTGACACAGTGATTATACCATGTTGATAGCACAAAGAAAATGCTAATCGACGTGCGAGTTGTTTTTAGACGAGTATTGGCGATTTTGCCACCGTGCGTGTAACTTTAGAGGGAATAACTCATGATATTCCCTCATGGAGAAAACTGCTACTTCGTACAACACAAGTTACGAACAATCAGTAGGGCAACTACAGACGCGTTTCAGGTTTTGCCTCCCTGTCCGGTCGTGACTGGTTATGCACTGAACAGCATTCTCTCTATGAGGGAATATCATGCTCGAATGAGCTTTTCTCTCTGAAATGAGAATTTCAGTTGTACATCACTGAGTTTTACTCAAAATTCAGTTTTACGCACTAAGTTCGGAAAATCGCCAGCACTATGTCTAAAAACAAATCGCACGTCAATCCGCATTTTGTTTGTACCCTATTTGACTCTCCCATTAACTTTTTTCACACAAAAAGTTGATTTCTAGACAGGGGAGAAAGAGAGTACAAAATCTCTTGTTTTATCGTCAACATGTTAAGCAGAACACAGTGGACGTGTTGAAAAGCACTGATGTCAATTACTCACAAGTTGCGAAATGTTCAGTTAATATTGGTGCGTATATTTTGGAACTCGAGCAAAGTGAATACTTTATAATAGCTTGTCTCAAGAAACGATTTTAAAAGGATACGCATGGGCCCTCTCCTAGAACTGAAATTCCGATTTTTCGACTCAAATTGGTAAAAAATTAACTTTTCTAAGTCTTTCCAATCTCTTTGAAAAATACTTTTAAGCGCTGGAACCAATTTTATTCTATGGACGGTCACATCTCCAAGTTATTTCTTTTCTTTCCCTGTATTACTTGAACAGATTTTTTTCTCTTTTTGTTGCAGCGACCCAGATGTCAAGCCAAGGATTCCGCGCGGAGAATAATATTTTTTGCAGCGGCTTCAATGCTTTCCTAGTCATGCTGTTTGCTTTCAGAATCTACTAATCCGTACTTACTATCGTCTAAAATAAGTAGAATATTTTAAAATCAAATCAAGTTAAATATCTACTGATCGGCATCCAAGGAAGCTACTTGTCAGTGAATACTGGTAATCAGTGTATAGTACTGCCGTGCTAAGGAAGAGCGCCGTATGAGCCTTGATACGTTGCCAAATTTCCCTGGATAAGATACGAATTTGTAGGAACATATGTGAAGATTCTTTCTCCAATTTTTCAGAGAATTTCATTCGCAACTAGGTCTAAATTATCTGAAAGTCTCGAGAGTAAACATCCACAACTCTCCTCAAAAATGAGCATTTTATAGTCGGAAATTTGGCAACTCTCGAATGTTCATACCGCGTTTTTCCTAAGCACGGCAGTGTAGCTCTCTGCAGCGGCCATGAACTTCTAAAGCGTGGGGTTCCGTCATTACAGAAAAAAGAAGTTCGATCATTTTCTTTGAAAATTTAAATGCTTCTATTCGTTTTCGACACCGAAAAATGCTCTTCAAGACAAAATAGCGTTGTACTGAAACTCAACTTAGGTTAGTCTAAATTTATTTCAGATCAACTCAAACATGACTTGCTGTAATTTAGTTTGATTAAATTAATTCAATTTTTTCTAGACAATCGCTCTGAAACAGTTGTCACGGGACTTTTAACTTCTGTGGATATTGTATATTTATATAAATTTAGATGACTTCTACGATGGCCCGATGTCAATTTTCTGAGTTTATTCTTTACTTCTTGAAACATTTTTAAAAACAAAGTTTTGGTCTACTCCAAATCGCCAGGCAAAAGTATGAAATTCACTCTTTGAAAGACTCACAAAGAAATCTTTTTGGAAGTAAAAGTGTCCTATCTCTGTCGGACGATGTGTGTCTCAGACTCAGTTTAATTGTGTGAAAATTTCTAAAAGAGACCTCCGCAATAAAAATTGAGCACCAAAGTACCTAAAATTGAAAAGTTAGAACGATAGAATTAAGTTCTAGTATGTCTAATCCATTATAGATTATGCCAAAGCAACTGAAAATAATGCATGTGCTGCCAAAGGAGAGAGTAAATATTTTCCCCAGAATTCATTTATCATGGGCATACTTTGTTGAATACTGGAATTCATGCATATTGTGTGGAAAAAAACTCAAAAATTCGTTGATTCCATGCCATTTTCTTTAAAAATATTCCTGAAATGACCGGTGCCAAGTGAAATCGCTGACCCCTAAATCGGGTTGTGCTTCAGACCATTTCCAAATTTTAAAAATAATATTTTTGTATAGAGCTTTATTCTAAAAGATATTTTCTCTCTTTACTTCTAATGACCCCCTTTTCGTTCCTTCCTTCAAAATGTTCTTATTTTGAATATTCAAAAAATTCCCTAAATTTTTCAAACTTTTTGTGCAAAGTGTAAATAGTCATGTCTGGTTAGATATGTATAAAATTATATTGCCCCTACTTTTTCTCTCTTTTTGGAAGAAAGGCGGCTGCTGTCTGATCGCAGCACCAAGCTGAGATCAGCCGTGAGAGGAAATTTAAGATTCAAGTCGGCGAGTTTTTATTTTCACTGTAAAGTATTAACTATCTTTTCAGAATCTTAAACTATATGTAGACCAATCATTAAATGTATTAACAATGTAACTACCACTAGGTGGGTGCGCAGAATGTTTCAGAATTAGGGTCTGCAGCTTCCCCTAAGAAGATCCTCTGAATTTAATCGAAATGACCACAAAAATAGTTCCTAAGACTACTACGCTAAAGAACCTCTACTTCTAGCCTCCCCCTCTCAGTCTATTCAAATATTAAAGGAATTTCCTGTGACGCCTGAATTTTTTACGTGCGCCCTCTTGAAAAAAAATGACTAAATATTTGGTTTGCGACTTGGGAAATATTTTAGTGCTTTGTGACGGTGTGCATAATAAAAGTCAGAACTATTTCTTTTCCCACTGCTTACTGTTTTTCAAATGTGATTCGAGAAAACGTTTTTCTCATCAATATATCTTGCCTTGTAAATAGCTCTTGCTTAGCTGTGATTTTTCTCGTGTATTAAAATGCCGCTATGTTAAATTGATATTTATTGTATGTTGAAGACTCCATCTCAATTTTCATGAAAGAACGTGTTGATATTCTAATGATAAACAAAGTTGTTTCATTTTTCTCTTATGTTGGCAGTAGGTATGAATTTTGACTTTGTAAGTTCAAAAATAGTGATCTATATTTCACCAATTGTAACGAAATGCATTCGTATCCCGCTGAAAACAGGATTTGTTAACAGCCAATCTCTGCTGAGCTGATTTCACACAGCCGAGCATGAAGTAGAATAAACGCGAAAAAAAATCTTAGATCTTCGCAAGTAGATTTCATCATTTCATTTTTCAATGTTAGATCAATTTTAAAATATTGGAATAATTTATAAATTTTCGAATGGAAATCAACACTTTAATGTCACGAATTACAATATGAAGATTTGTTTCGTAGAATAATTTTTCGCATCCGTTGCATGTCTTAGAAAGTTTCGATAACTGAAGGTTTTACCGCTTTAAGTATTGATTTCGAGATAGAATGCATATCTTAGTAGGCGTCGACAAGAGAGCAGTTCCTTTCGGATTTTCCGGGGCTTGAAGGACTAGGCACATAAATGCAGTTTTTGCTATTTCAAGAGCTATGTGTATGAAGTCTCAATATTGCACGGATATAGTCTTCTAGCGGGAAGAGAGCGCGAACTCACTTTTTGATGCTCAAAAAACATTTTAACACTTATATTAGTTGAAATAATGAATACCTCAAATTTTTTTCCAAAAAACTACACTTATGCGCCTTGTCCTCAAAGTCCCGCAACTTTGCTTTGATCAACTTCTCAAAAAAAAAAAAAAAAAATTAGGGTTTTAATTTCTGACGGGAGAACACCTATCGTAATCACGGAACTAAAATTGCGAATGGTTTGTTTTACTGTTGTGCCAAAAAAAAAGAGAAAAAAAGTGAGGATACATTATATCTAGCAGATTTTTGAACTTTAAACCTAAAGGCGGAAAAACTTTTGTTTTGATCGAAATTTGACCACCTCTATGACAACAAATGTTTGTAAAACACTCCTCTAAATGGACTAAATTTTGCAACGAAGAACTAATTTTTCTAGCTCATCCTTAATTGCACCTACCTGCACAGACAGACAAATGCCACATACTTTTTGTGATATATTCGTCGGAGTTTGTAGTTATTTATTGATCAATTTAGTCCAAATAGTGTTACCAATGTCTCTTTTCTCAATTTTTCTGCACTATGGACCCTATATGAGGACTCTTCGCTTGTGCAGTCAGTAATATGTAATTTTGATGTATATTAACTGCTACTTGTATGTATTGAAAACTTTTCTGTAAAATTTAATTGTAAAATAGATGAAGATGACCAAATAAAGAAGGAGTTTTCTTTTTTCCTTGATACACCATTGCATTCTAGATTGATGGTTAACCCATATCGTTCCTCTGACATGAGGCCGTATCTTTATCTCCAGATGAACCCCAAAAAGCATAGAATTATACGGAGAACAGGGCTCATGTGGGCATTGATATGCCTAACAAAGTTTTTGTGCGAGAGTGGCTGAAGTAGGCCTCTGAGGCCCCCACAAAGAATACATATCATTTTTGCTTTTCATGGACTTTCTTTCAAGTTTATGTAAATTGTTAGGAGGTGACTATTTCACACCTAAATTACATCTCTTGAATTGACTTATCAAACTATCAAGAGTGTTGCAGCCCCGCAGCCTCACATGTTGCCTGACAAACTTTCGAGGGCAAACCGGTTTATATGAACGCATGGAAAATATTTGAGGTGTTCTGAGGACAAGGCGCATAAGTGCAGTTTTTGCCATTTCGAGAAATAAGTGTTTGAAGTTTCAAAATTACGCGGATCCTTATTTCGGAATCAAAGATCAAACTGACTTATTGATGCTTAAAAAGTGGAATTTGGGAGCGAATTTTTCACAGTAAATGCATTAAGACCAGTTTAACTTGAGATCATTAATATCTCATTTTTTTTCAAAAACTGCACGTATGCGCCTTGTCCTTCAAGCCCACCATTTCCTCTTAATAATTTCTTAAAGTCAAACTCTCCAACACGCTAGTGTTGGTGTCTAAAGGCTTGGTTTCCCTTCTCGATAGAAAACAAATCGACACTCTGCCTAAAATTTACTTAAATTTTCTCTTCATGATCCCACGGAAACTCACTGATAGTCCCGAAGAAGCGTAATATTGTTTGTTTTTTGCTGAAAAAATATAACTTGAGAGAAAATGAAGCAGAATTCTTTTCCATCTTAGTTATAATTATGTTCACACTCATCTCCGAGTTTAGTATATGACGTGTGGCATTCAGCATTCGTCTAAATATTCGGTTCCTCGTATTTGGAACTGAGTACCATAATGTGCAACCAAACTCTGGCGTCCTACCAAAAACGGCTGGAGTCATCAACGTCAGTAGCTGTGCTGTTTAAGGGGTGATTTAATGGAAAGAGAGAAAATTGGCAGATCCAAGGGGGCGGAGGAAGGGTGGATAGCACCACTCTTTTTTGTTCAGTGGAATAGTAGGGAAGAAAGGTTGGTGAAAGAGGGGGAAAATATGAAAAACTTTTTCTTTAAAGGGGTCAATCAGAAGCCTGGATCTCCGTCAAAAGTTGAGGACATGGGCTCAGCTTAACCCTTTGTTGCATGGGCTAATCGTTGATTTTGGACAGAAAATCTACTTTGTACAGTATTTTTTCGACAATAGAGTCAGTTGGAATCGATCTTTGTAGTTTCTTTTAAAGTTAGGAGATCAGACTGATAATGCTCCCAAAAAATCATTTCTTGCTTTAATTCAATTTAATACTCCAGCATAGAAATAAAGCTGAAAACCATTTGTTGCTTTCATGCAACGCTATGCAATAAAAGGTTAAACTATTGAAATAAGGTCATTTGTGTGAAAAATCCGTCTATCAGAGAGGGGGATGCACAACAATTCAAGATAAATTCTAAAAAAAAATTATCAGCGTGTCCCCGATGAAGGGACACACAAACTTATCATAAATGCATTTTTTCACCAATTTCCAGATTTAGATGGGAGCCGGGACGTTCGAAGTAGAGTACCTTTATAAGGAGAGTGTGACCACTGGGCCCAATGAAGGGGCTGAAGGCCCAAAAATGGCGGCATTTTGTTTTAGGAGGGGGGGGGGGTCATTGCCAACTTTTGACGGTTATCACCGACCGCACTTGCTGCTAACTTCATTACATCCAAAATAAATTTTCTTGAAAATTGCAGACAATTGACCGTAAAACTATGTAAATACGCCGGAATAATGCATTTGAGTAAAGTTCCCGTTGCGATATGCAAATAAAACTACATTTTAAGTCATTTTGTATTCACATTTTCTTGCAGCGTCCGCCATTTTTGGGCCTTAGGAAGCTTCATTCAGCCTAAGAGGGCTGATCCAATCATAGGTGGGAATCGAAATGACTATACTCTCCCTATGAGGGTACTCTAGTTCGAAGTGGTGAACTCTCGTAAAACCTTTTGTGACAGTATCCGAGGGGATACTGATAAAATAAAATACTGATAAATATAAATATATAAATAACTATAAATACTAATAACTATAATAAACTATAAATAAATACTGATAATAGAACGTGAAATGCGGACTTAGTGTAGTCAAATATCTCGGAGACTGTCTTTTTTCAATGGCCATGCGTCAATCCAACTCAATCCTTCCGGTTCCAACTTTGTGCGACCTGAAATACGAATCAGTTGTTCGGTTGTTCTTGTTCCTCAAGGAGCAAGTCCATTTCTGCGTACGCCATGAAAATGAACTTTTTCCTTTTTTAAAACAACTGATTTAAAAAAGGCTGGTTGTGCAGACAAGCTGGATCATCCTGTGGACGAACTTACTCTTACATCTTGTAGGGATACTTACAGCACAAGATCAGAAGGCAGGTTGACATGATTGCCAGTTTTGCTGCCGCTGCTGGACGCTAACGGGAAATGACTATAGAAATAAGTCTAAAATCCCCTTCAATTTTTGTGCATGCAACATCACATACATACACAGTATATACATTGCCAAATATTTATTTTCAAGACTGCTAACACGTTAAATACGACACGTACAATATTATTAACAATTAAACATAGAGACGGAAAAAAAAGACACTGAAAATGTGGCCCATATACTATGATCGACAGGATAGTAGAAAATTGCTGGGCCCACGCTATTCTGTGGAGAAATCAGAAATTGAGAGAAGTAAGAATTGTGATTAGAGTTTCAAAATGAACTCTTGTAAGTTTCATCACAACGTTTTTCATTAGTTATTATTTTCTTAACATAAACTAAGCGGCAATTATATTTGAATATTGCTGCGTAAATATTTTATGTTTTAGGCGAAGTTTATAAATAGTTTGGAGTCTGAATGTTCCACGGTGATTAGTTTTCTGTTAAGAAAAAAGAATGAGAAATGTTGAGAGAAACCCATGTAACCGTGAGATACATTTAAGCATATTCTGGTTGAGTTCGTTCATATGTAAAGTCACGATTTAAGAGGAAGCCCCAAAATAATTTCCTTTACAAATTGGAAGAAGTCGCTGCTTGAATTTGTCGTCTAAAACCTTGGACATTAATCGCTGATGAGATGGACGTATTTATGCTGAAAGACACTATGTTTTACGCAAACCCTATGCACATAGTTCCTTTTGGCATAAATACGTCCAGATGAGGAAGATGAATTCCAAATTTCTCTCGAATTTCCCATATGCCATGAACAGCTTTTTAAAATTGATTCTGCTTTTCGAACTGCATAATCTCCCAAGAACCTGTTCCAGTGTTCTCAACTCCAGATCGCCTCATTTCTCTAAACTCGATCATGTCATTTTGAACCTCTATCAGTTCGAGTTTTATACCCGTGCAGAGCGATTTTTCTGCTGAAACGGACTGTGCATTACGATAACAAAGTAACATTTTAAGTTTTACCGGATTTTAAAAATATTTTTAAATTGAATAGAATGTTTAGTGAGTATTTGTACTATATGTAATAATTGATCAGTCGGGCTTGGCGTGAATAATTACATGAATGAATCTCCTGCCGTCTTTTTTATAAACTTTTAGTATCCGTGAGCATTAAACAATTCAGAGCTTTATATTTTTTTGAAATAATTTTATTCCTCAAACATAGAAGATAATTAGACAGAAAGTTATAAGAATGACCGACATTCATTCAGTTCTTATCACTGGTGCGTGGACTGGTATTGGTCTTGAATTTACGAGGCAATTTTTGAAGAACCCTGAGGCGCAAGCACAGATTGTAATCGCCACCTGCCTCGTCCCGGATGAAGCAGCGGTGAGTAAGAAAATGTTACGAATTTCTTACTTTTATTACTTAGAGTATTTTACTTTGTTCAAAATTTTTTATTTTATTTCTATTGTCGAGCGCAAACAGATTACCCTCGTCATAAAATATCATTTCACTTTCCTTTTTCGATTCAGTGAAAAGATAGTTCATGTTCCGGTGTGATTTTTTTCATTAAGAATGAGCATATCATACGAAATTTTACAAGTCAGTTGAATTGAATAATGCTACTATCTGACAATTTTAGGGATATGCCGTATCATATATGCTGCGTGTGTGAGTATCACCAATTAGGATTTTAAGCAGATATTTTCAAGGGATTTCATTCACGACTCCAGACTGAACTTTTTTTCACATTTTACTCGCATTTTTTTCAAAAGTAAAATTTTTCAACTTCAAAGTTTCCAAAATTAATATTTAAGAATTAGCATTTTTGCCAAAGTGTTCATTTTTTTATCTTCTAAATTGATAGAATTCAAAAATATGTGACCAACATTCTAAGTGTATACAGCTGTACACAGTGAACTGGAAAATTAGTCCTATAACAGAAGAATCAAATATCTGAATCCCCCCCCCCCCCNCCCCCCCAAAAAAAAAATCACGATACTTTCTGACTGCATGCTAAGTTGGAAAATCTCAAATCTGATTTACTAAAATTTATTAAAAGTTGCTTAATAGAAGCCTTTAAGAACTGCGCCTAGTCCTCATTTCCCTCGCCTTACTTTTCAAGAGAGGAGCCATATTCTACATGAAATTGTATATATCGACGGTGTAAGTCGGCAATCGCATAACTGCGACTGCGAAGATTTCCTGTCATACTTCATTTTTTAAAAGGAAAACCACTCAATGGCAATTCTTTAAAACTGCCGTGATTTTTTTTCTCCGTGCAAAGAAAATACCTGAAAAACTTGAGGGAATGATGTCAATTTGCTCTCCTTCAAAAAAATAACACAGAGGCGGAGATTTTCAGAGACTGCAAACGAGATATGTGATTGCGGCCTTACGCCGTGGATATTCGGAAAATGATACGGTATTTTAATATGGAATTTTCCGATTTAATCCTCTTCGTGAGCTTATCGCAGAACTGACCATACCTACTAAAGCTAATGCCTACCTGTCCGACTTACCTTGAAAGGCCACGCGCAAGCAGAGGCTCAAGTGTGTGAATATGTTCAAAATACTGCATCTGCTTGAAATGATAATTAGGCTCAGTCTGTATAAATTATATCGGACCATCTTTAGGTCTCCACCTCGTCGCTCTCTCATTATTAGAATCAGTGGCAAATTTAAAAAATCGGCAACACTGCTTATCCTACATTTAAATCAAACATGTATAATAATTTTCATGTGAGGCTCCCAGCTTCGATTTAAATCGACTGTTTTACATTCATTATTGAATAGGCGAAGATAGGTTGGATTACATTTAGCAATAAAGAACCACTATTTCAGACCTATTTCAGAAACAACATACACGCCATTGGTTTCTCCATGCAGATATGTGCTTTTATGAGAGAGCCAGAGATAGTGGCTCCTAATTGTAAAATGTAATCCGGTTCTCCTAGCTCGCAAGAACCACAGCTGCTCAGAATAAAACGGTTCGTCAAAAATCAATGTCATCTTTATCATCATAATTCGTCTTTTTTCAGACGAAAGAACGTAAGTACATTACAGGAGGTTTAAGGTTTTAGAAGCCAGCCTTCCTTACTATAAACGGCAACCCACGAGAGACTACAGTCGGTCCATCATTTTCCCAACAATATAAATTTGTCCAACTAATAGGATCGCTCCATTTTCCCTTTGTTCTCTTTGTCTATTGCTTTGTCTATCAATTTTAATCACCAGTTTGCAACTGTAGTAAGATCACATACCAAATCTCATCAAAATTTGGCGGATTCTACGTCGTTTTTGGCAATCAGACATAACAAAAATCTCCGANTTATGACCAAAATCCGGTTTCTAATCTAACAGACCTCGTATATCGACGGTGTAAGTCGGCAATCACATAACTGCGACTGCGCAGATTTCCTGTCATACTTTATTTTTTAAAAGGAAAACCACTCAACGGCAATTCTTTAAAACTGCCATGATTTTTGTTCTCTGTGCAAAGAAAATACCTAAAAAACTTGAAGGAATGATGTCATTTGCTCTCTTTCAAAGAAATAACACAGAGGCGGAGATTTTCAGAGACTGCAAACGAGATAAGTGATTGCGGCCTTACGCCGTGGATATTCGGAAAATGATACGGTGTTTTAATATGCAATTTCCCGATTGAATCCTCTTTGTGAGCTTATCGCAGAACTGACCATACCTACTAAAGCTAATGCCTACCTGTCCGACTTACCTTGAAAGGCCACGCCGGCCACGCGCAAGCGGAGGCTCAAGTGTGTGAATATGTTCAAAATACTGCATCTGCTTGAAATGATAATTAGGCTCAGTCTGTATAAATTATACCGGACCATCTTCAGGTCTCCACCTCGTCGCTCTCTCATTATTAGAATCAGTGGCAAATTTTAAAAATCAGCAACACTGCTTATCCTACATTTAAATCAAACATGGATAATAATTTCCATGTGAGGCTCCCAGCTTCGATTTAAATCGACTGTTTTACATTCATTATTGAATAGGCGAAGATAGGTAGGATTACATTTAGCAATAAAGAACCACTATTTCAGACCCATTTCAGAAACAACATACATGCCATTGGTTTCTCCATGCAGATATGCGCTTTTATGAGAGAGCCAGAGATAGTGGCTCCTAATTGTAAAATGTAATCCGGTTCTCCTAGCTCGCAAGAACCACCGCTGCTCAGAATAAAACGGTTCGTTAAAAATCAATGTCATCTTTATCATCATAATTCGTCTTTTTTCAGACGAAAGAACGTAAGTACATTACAGGAGGTTTAAGGTTTTAGAAGCCAGCCTTCCTTACTATAAACGGCAACCCACGAGAGACCACAGTCGGTCCATCATTTTCCCGACAATATAAATTTGTCCAACTAATAGGATCGCTCCATTTTCCCTTTGTTCTCTTTGTCTATTGCTTTGTCTATCAATTTTAATCACCAGTTCGCAACTGTAGTAAGATCACATACCAAATCTCATCAAAATTTGGCGGATTCTACGTCGTTTTTGGCAATCAGACATAACAAAAATCTCCGAGAGAATTGGGTTTCACAAAATAAAAGTCTCCTCCTCACGGTATTACAAACTAACGAGTAACATTTCCTGTGTATTTTTCTGGCAACCAGTGTAAAATACGTTGTCTGGTTTTGCTTGTGTGCAACTTTATCGAAGTGAACCGAGTTATACTTACTCTTTGTTTCGCTTAATTCTTCTAGGACTTACTGGAGCTCCAGAAAAATCATTCGAACTTACACATCTTGGAATTAGGCAAGTTACTATTTTCTTCAAATTAGATCAAGCACTCCACATATGTAGTGTTCGGAAGCACGATGGACTGCAAAATCTAGGGGAGGGGTCGAGAGAGGGAGTCAAAATTGAAAAATGTGATCTGCTTCTGGACTTTTTGGACCAATTTTTTTTCTTGAAAAATGTTTATCCACAATTCTGTGAAAAATTATTTACTCTACCTTAAGGAACTGTTGTTGAGACACAATGGCTATGATATGAGTTTTGACGACAATCAGTAGGATATAGGAAGTTCTATTTCAATCCGTTATTTTTAAGTCCAGAATGCAGTAAAGTAAAATTATTTAGCTTCACCTTCAAAGTACGTGTTTTTTTTACTCCAAACATGAATAGTTAATGATTTGGTTTTTTACTCGTTTTTCGTCCCAAATTTTTCGAACGACACTCCTTTACGTTTTCTTGACGAACTGAGGTATTTTCAAGTGAGCGAGCACATATTATGAGGGAAATAATACTGTGAGGAAGATTTCGCTAATCTCTCCTCGTGCAGGCATAAATCTAACTGAAGAGATTGAGGAGCATAGTATTTATGTTATATACTGATAGTTTTAGGATTTTTTCCAAATGCCGAGGTAGATAGCCAATTTTATTTTATTTTAGATTGCAAAACCAAGACTTTTCTTGATCTTTAAACAGAAAATTATCCAATGATGCATTTGAAAAAACTCTAAAAAATATTCAATTATCCCATGATATTTCCCAGCGTTTGAAGCTCTGAGTGTACTGTACATACCTATTACAGAAACGCCTAAATTTTCATAAAATGTAGATTATTTGATTGACGGATGAAATAGTGCAGAACAATGCATTATTAATTTTGTGCTAATAGTCTCAGAATACACGTTAGAGTTGTTTTAATTGATGTCTTTTGGATATTTCAGACGTTACAAAATACAACACTTTTGACAGAGTAGTCTCCAAAGTTAGCGAAATCGTTGGTGAAAAAGGTTTGACGCTCCTGATCAATAATGCAGGAGCATACGGAATAATGGGTCGACTGGAGAAAATCGATCCTGAGGTCTACACCAAAATTCTACAAGTCAACTGTGTTGCTCCGGTTATGGTAACGAGGGTAAGTAACTATGCTTTAAATTTTTCCAAAGTTTCAAATCATTAGATGATCATAATAATATTGAGATTGAATGAGGGAAAAACATTTTTCCTCCTAATCATTTTAGCTGTCCAGTCAAATTGGTTACTAATAACTTTACGTTTTCACATTGCCTCTTTTTTATTATTTTATTTCTGAGTGGGGCGAAAGCGTCGAAACTTGTTCGAAAAGCCATTTTGGACTGGAAATGGACAAAATCTGCTGTGCTCGGAAAGAACGCCGCCGTATGAGCGATCAAAAGTTGCCAAATGTCCGTCTATATAATAGTTGTTTTGTGAAACTTGCGAATATTTTCCCTTGACATTTTCATAGTTTAATGGCGAATAGTTGCTTTTATTAAAAAGAAAATCAGGATTAGAATATTCAAAATTTTCCTTGAAGATTTATATTTTATTCAAGAAAATTAAGACTGTCTGAGGGCTCGTAGGTCATTTGTCCAGAGGCTTGACGTGCTTTGCGCTATATCGATCGATCCACCATTTAAACCCATGAAAAAGGATCGCGATGTACAGGGTGTACAGCGAACACCTCAATAATCGATCCTTTACTATAGCTTCAGATAAGGAAATATCAATAGTCGATCATTCACGCCTCGCCACTGCATTTTCCCCAAGCAAGGCAGGAAGGTGTCTAGTATTAATTACTAAAAAGTTTAGTATACTTTACTTAAAAGAACTACTTGCCCTCTTCCGACGCCACTAACTGGAGATACGCCCTACAGTAAATGTTTCACTCAATGATTAAAAAGAGAGAGAAAAAAAGATCATGGCGCCAAAGTACTCAATTGAAATCGTTTTGCTGAAATGTTTTCCTCGCTCAAAAGTAAAATCCGATGAGACTAAGTGTGCCCGACTATCGAACATATTAGATACTTCTTCAAAAAATCTAATATTATGGCCAAAGTGCAATCGCGAGTAGAAGCTGAATTTTTTTTTTTTTTTTGATGAATATTCTTAAAATGCGCAATATTATTAATATGTTTGTTTGTTGAAAGGCTTTCCTACCACTTCTGAAACAGTCAGCTGCTACGAACGCTTCCAAACACGACGATGGTAAGGATTCATTCCACGTTGCTTTGCTTTTTTTGCCACTCGAATCGAAAACATTGTTATGCCTCCAGCCTCCCGTGGTAAAAATTGGCGATAAGAGCTGCGTTTCAAGATACCATAGGAATTCTTATAGCCACCTAAAGAAGGCTACAGAAAATAATATGGCTGGCTGTAGAATGCGGAGAAAATCATACGGCCGGGCTATACGAAGCGATGAAAAATTATGCAGCTGGGCTATAGTTCCTATCGCCGGGCTTTACACTTTATCGCCTGGCTGTTGCTTTTTCGTCATCGATTATAAAAGGCTATAAGAAATGGTGTAGAAATTCGTGTGCTTCGGAAATCGTTAAGTTTGATAAGGAACCACCTTAACATTTACAAAACGCACATTATATTTTCCTTTACCACATATTTTTTTCATCAATTAAAATGAGAATAATCCATACAGGATGTGCAAACATTTCAAAGTCATGAGTTGAAAAACGCTGACTTCACGAGATTAAATATTAGAGCCTAACACAAAGCGGAACGGCGATGGACTGGCGCCTACAAACCTAACAGGGATACTTCACGCATTGCGCAACGCGTGAAGTATCCCTGTTAGGTTTGTAGGCGCCAATGCGCGTTTCGCGCTGGCTGCCCGCCTGCCGCGCCGCAGCGTGTCACGGCGCTTGAAGCAACTATTTCAACCCAGAGGTATTGCACAGTATCATACGAAATTGAAGGCGCTCCAACATATTAGGAATGGCAGGCATCCTTCAAAAGTACGGAGCTTTCCTCGCAAAATAAATCAAGATACTATGGCTCAAAAAGAGAGCAGTAGTCCAAAAACTCACTAAGTCCTAGCATCCGTAATTAGTAACGTTTAGCATACACTTTATCGCCGGGCTGTTGCTTAATCGCCATCGGCTATAAAAGGCTATAAGAAATTATGTAGCCGGCTATAGAAGCTATTGGAAATCTTACAGCCTCCGGCTGTAGGTCTATGTGGTATTTCGGAACACAGATTCAACTGCCAATTTTTACCAGGGTCTCCCTTTGTCTTGTCTCGAGGATCTACTTTTAGAGGCACACCCTGTACAAAATCTCGATGCAATGCGCACCTTTAACTTTAAACTTTAATGTTTTTTCCCTTTATCCCCCCTTTAAAAGAAACTCTTCATCGGCTACTCTAAAAAGTGTCCAATTGTGGATAGAGTTGAAAATTAAAATTTGTAGCTATTCATATTTTAATTATGACGATACAATATATTGAAATGGACGCTGGACCTAATATTATTGTATTTTAAATTGAAAATCGGTACATCTATATAAATTATTGTTCTTTTCACCAACTTTTTAATGAAACATTTTGAACTTAGGTAGTTGCGAAATGTTTTCATTAAATTGATTTGTATTACTTGACTTAAAAAAAAAAAAAAATGGTGGTATCTAGATATCTAGAGTTGCTTTGTAAAAACGAGCGAAACTAATCATAGAAAATTTCAGACTCTATGGAAATTCAGTATTTTATGCATATCGATGGCCAAAGTTCGAAACCATATATCTCTATCGCGGTGTTATAAAATTTTCTGCCCTATTTTATTTTTCTGACCAGCAAATATCACAGCTTGAGATTCATACAGATGAGTAATCTGCTTGCAGCGAAACAAAAATGAAAGAAACTCTAAAAAATCACATAAAGTAGTTTTGAAAGAGAAAAAATGAAGTGTGGCAGGAAGTCTGTAACGTCGCAAAGGGAAGTATGTGGTTTCGCAACATAACTATCATTATACTGCCGTGCTAAGGAAAAACGCCGTATGAACCTCCAGGCTTTGCCAAATTTCCTTCGATAAAACACGAATTCTCTGGTAAACCAACGAATATTTCCTCTCCAATTTTAAGAGAATTTTGCTCCTTATTTTACCTAAAGTTCCTTAAATTTCAAGGAAAAATATTCCTAACTTTCCTCAAAAAGAAACATTATATCGAGGGAAATTTGGCAACTCTCGAATATTCATACGGCGTTATACGCTAACGCGGCAGTATAAGCTACTGTCTCATAACAAATTCAAACCAATAGAATTGTATAAAGCAATAGTTCTGAGAAAAATACTTTCTTGAATGATAAAATCTCTCATTCATAGATTTTGGATTTTTTCCAGGATTGAGTTTAACGAGAGCCGCAGTAATAAACATCAGCTCAATATTCGGATCAATTAAAGTGACAGGGACGAGCAAAACTTACGGATCTATACGCGCTTACGGCTACAAAGAAAGCAAGGTAAGGAGTGAAATACTTTTAAGTAAAAATGAAGGATGTAAGAGCAGATTCGGAAATGAAGCTGTGGTGAAATGTTTGGAATCGGGAAAAAATAATAACGAAATATCTAATTGTATTAACACATTAATTGATTTTATTTCCTCTTTGTTTTAATATACTGAAATATATACTCTTTCACAGGCGGCGTTGAACATGTCCACACAGATGATGAGTTCAGAACTCCGAGCTTATGGGATCTTGGTAGAGTCCATACACCCCGGTTTCGTGCAGACTGACATGACCACGAAAGGGCTGCCCGGGCTCAAGGCAGAACTATCACCCGAAACCAGTGTTACCAACATGCTGAAAGTTATGTTGAGCATGAAAGAGAAGATCAAAGATGGCTACTGCTCATATGATGGAACGATATTGCCTTTTTAAATTTATGAATAACTTGGCTTTATGTTTTTCAACTTTTTTAGGAAATTACTTGTCGGCAGTAAAACTACCAAACCACGTATCTCGTTTGCGGCATTTTAAAATCTGTACTCCCATTTTTTAAAATTATTATTTATTTAACACATCAAAATCAGTCCTTGAAGTTTTCACAGAATTTTCCTCGTGCGGAGAAAAAAAACTATACAGAAGTTTTGAAAAATCGACGTCGAATAACTTTCTAATCAAGAAATATAATATAACAGAAATTGCAAACCGAGATACATGGTTTGGGAGCTTTACCATTGTCATTTGTTAATGTTGGCTATAATACCTCTTTCTCGAGAATATTGTTTATTTCACGGAAAAGAATACGGTTTTTAAGATTGTGTGATTGAGTATTTTAATATAAAAAATGCAATAGTGTATTTTCTTCGGAAAATACACTAAAAAAAGAATAAATTCGACAGCAGCACCGTTTTTTTATTGACATTCTTTTCAACCCAAAAGCAGATCATGCGTCGCATAATGCACCAAGTCATGGGGAGAAGTTGGACAAAATGTGGAAACTTTAAAAGCTCACAGTTCCTTCAAAACACAACTTTGAGCCTTTAAAAGTGGTTCCGTTGGTTTTCTCGTAAAATTTTTTATTTAAAGCACCCCTTCAGATGCAAAACTTGACAAAATAAACATCATTTGCGGTTTCAGTGTAAAAATTTTCATAACCATTGACCACTCGGTCCACTGTGCATCGAATAAAAAAAAAACAAATTGTGTCCACAAGAATTTTACTAAAATTAAAATATGAAAGTTCATGCAATTTTTTGGGCGCTTCTGGGTACCAGATGCGCCCTTTCCAACCGTTCGACTCCCCCGATGTAACATGTACTATACTACATGCCCTTTTGCCTTATGGGTAATGACGCCATTCTGGTACACCCGGGAAAATTGGATTTTTTTCTGCATCTGGTATTCGTAAAAGTTTTCGTGAAATGTTTTGCTTTTAAGCATAACAATCTCGCACGGACGTATTACCTGGTTAAAGTATTTTAGGGCCTCCTTATGCTTTAAATACTTATATCCGAGGCAGTACTTTCAGATCGATTTGAAAATATTACGAACAGTCACGTGATCTCTTCATTTTAGTGACGTATTACTGTGCTACTTTGTGATTGGTTCATTTTCTTGGCGCAGCATCGACATGTCAGCTGTTTGCGGCATTGAGCGGAAGGTTTAAGGTTATGTCATGGACCATGAGAATGAATAAGGACCCCCAACTCCAGTTAGCGGAGACATTAGCGCTGCCTATATTTTCATCCATGGCCGATGTCACTGCCGGCCGGCCGGTCCCTCTCTTCCCCGCGACCCGCGCTTCCCCTCCCCCTGGCTGAACTCCTGTTCACGCGGCCCCGCTCCCCCGCGACCTGCGCGCCCTACCTCGCGGCGTCGCGACGCCGCTGTCCGCTAGATCGCGTTGACGCACCAGCTTTAGAGGTTCCGCCGCTCTTTCCCGTCGTCTGATTTACAGTGCATCCTTTATGTTTCCATTCACCACCAACTTAAGTTTATCACAAAGTGCTTGTGAAATGTTTCAGATCTTCGCGGTCGATCTGAAGTCTTGAAGGGTTTTGCGGTTAAAAGTCCCACTTTAAATTCCATCTTCGACAGTCTTCGGGTACATTATTTGGTAGTAATATGCTTTGTCAAGGAAGCGCCCTTCAACGCTTGGGCGTTGGAACTGCTTGTTTTTTGTTGCAAAAAAAATTAAATATACTTTATATAAATTAAAACAAGTGGTCATTTTTATGGATTTTTTCCTGAATGAAAAACTCACGACGATGATTTTCAGATGGCATCATGAGCAAAATTTTGCAACAAAGAACTGCCACCCATGGCTCATTTCAAAAACAACATACGCGTCATTAGTTTTCCTTTGCGGATATGTGAGCTCATACATGAGGGGGCACAGTAGTTCCCTCCTGCAAAATGTATCCTAAATGGCACAGCTCAGAGTGGTTTTGAGCAGGTTATCCGCTCCCAGTTCTTTCGCCGAGCTTTGAAGCGAACCTCCC